TAATCAATTTTTTTAAAATCTTGGGTGAAGATGTGTAACTGATTTGAATGCGTTTGATATGGTGGTGTTCTCTGAGCTAGATGTTTTAATTGAGACGCTTTCATTCTCCTTCTGGAAAACGTCTTCAGCCTTGGCGTCATCACAGTTAAGTGAATTTTGGGAATACTAAATTGGTGAAACACTTTTTCTCTCTGTAGTAACCTCACATTTCCCGAAGGATAATGAAGACTTCATAATGAAATTGATCAGAATTTGTGAAATGACTGCGTTATTATCTTCATGCATGTCACAGTGAAGCTGGCCTATACTTCCTCTTATACTTGAGTCTGTCAAAAACTTTTTGTGAGGGGCAACTCTTAAGTGTGTAGTTTTTATGTGACACATATGTCCAGATAACTGTATCGATCACTATGAAGTGATCAATGTGTGAGCATCAGTCAGTAATCCTCTTTGGTTTCAGTCATGACAGGAAAAACCAACGTCAAGGCATGTGACTTCAAACTCAGGGATGGAAATTTCAATTTTGAAAGGGATATAAGCCTGCTTAAGACTTTAGACACACCCTAATGAGGAATGTAAGCATACATGGAACATATGACTTTCTGTGAAACGATTCAAAATTAGTGTGAATGTGTTTTCCGATTGATATTGGCTAACAATGGAATACAGGAAGCGCATTTCTCCTTATTTGGCACTCATCAGTTGGAAATACTTCCATCCAAGGTGAGTGGTGGTGACCCGGGATCGGTCCTCGACTAATATCCACCTTAGCGTCGCTTAGCCAACAGTAAGTGCAGCAAAAAGTGGAGGTTGCCCGTGAAGTTAGCTACCTCATCCTGTTAAAGAAATAACATTATTACGGAAATTTCGAAGCTCATTTTTGTTACCCTATTTTCCATTGTGAACTCAAAGGAATAAAATGTAACACTACGTTACATTGTAGAACTAGTCTTTTTCAGTTCACTGTTATCCCAAAAGCGATAGTATTACCATTCAATCACAATAAAAAAGGTGATTGGAAACATCCTTCAGCTTGAAACTAGGCCACTTAATGTTGAAAAAGAAAATGATAAAATCCCCTCGTATTGACTGTAAAAGTCAGCATGAAGCATTTTCGGTTGAGCATTTAATGTGCTTTTTTCCGTTCGTTAACTTTACAACTGAAAACAGAATTTCGACTTTAAGCTGTGCAGTTTCATTAATGGTGGGGTCCTTTTAGTACAAGAAGGGGGTCGCTAGCTGAACTCCTTCTTTTAACCGAGCTTATTACAAGCTAAGAGGGGTTCTAAAGTTCATCTAACGGAAACGGAACCTAGACAAAGTGAATGGTTTGGGCTTCCTCCCCCAAGGGGCCAAAAGTGTTGTCAGGATTAGCTCAACAGGTCACTATGTTCCGTTGTTAACTGAAAGGTTGGTGGTTTGATTTCATTCCAGGTGTTAGGGGGAAAAGTATAAGGTATATATATATGCATACATAGTGAATCGAGAATTCAGTGTGGTATGTACTACTTATAGACAGAGAAAACCCCTGAACCCTTCACCTGACGAGTGTCATAAAAATGCGAAAGCCAGACTGAACTTATCTTTTATAATGTCTTGCAGAAAATTATGCATCCCGATATTATATGGTTGGAGGCAATCAGCAGGAAGCCTTAGACACCACCTAGACTTCGTGCTAGTTGGGACTCACCAGTCAGCAAGGTGTATCTACAACCACCTTGAAGGAACTCATTTCCCTTTTGAGATTCGAACCCATACCATCCAGTGAGCGCTGCAGTCAGAGACGTTACCACTGAGCTACTTGGTTTCTAATCTCAGAAGGGACATCGTCATTTCCTCAAAGGCTGCAGATACGCCTTGTTGACTGGTAAGTGCCAACTAGCACGAAATCTAGGTAAGGTGGGGCTTCCTGCAGATTGCCTCCAACCATCTAACATCTACAATTCAAGGTGCACCTTGATGGTGAGCCACCTAACGGCATGATGGCCACATTGCAAACCTGACTGCACCAAACAAGGGACTAACTAGACACATTACACTCGTTACTGAATAGTGTCCAATCAAAATTATACATTTTAAGAATTTTTCTTACCACACATTGGCAATCAATACACTGAAGTGTTGGCATTGACTTCAAAGATGAGGCCAATCTCGAGTTTGTACATTTACTCAGGTGTGACAGAGAGGTAGTTTCTTCAGGAGAATCGAACTGTTTCTTTTTATGAGGAACAGTAGTCGAACAACAAAGTTGATAGTATTCTATAGATGTAAATGCCATGAAACTGGAGCATATTAACGGCTGACAATATTGTGTATTATTCTGAAAAATTATTCAAAAAAATAATTATAAATTCAAACCACGAAAACATTTATTGATTTAGAGAATTACAAGGGAAAGATTTACTTTCAAGAACGATGTTAATCAACTGCTAGGATGGACAATCTTATTTGTTCGCTGTGAAGTCGTGTTTTATGCATGCACTGACATGACATTCCTATTGGACAGTTCAGTTGGTTTGTTTATGGCTTAATTCTTGGGGAGAGATTTCGAGGCCAGATGACCAATCAGATTTGTTTTATTAATGTCTTAAATTTCTGAGGGTTTGTAAATATAATACAGTATGGATTTTGCATAATAAAGTTTGATTGGTTGGAGGATTTCATCACGAGCTGAAATCAGTTAGAGAACCATTGGAAAACCAGCCAGGGAGTACTGGACAGCCAGCTGTTTCGTCAGCCTAGTTTGGGAGAGGCTCTTCATCAGTACGCACACACACCCCACTGACAGGGTTCGAACCCTCGACTTTCTGGTTACAAGGCGAGCGAGCTCGTAGACCATCAAGCCACTGGGACCCAGTCCAATGACCAGCCCATGAATTCTAACTTCTGTCGATTCATGGCATTGCGAAGTGGTCGCCCTGTGTCTTGAATTGGCAGGAGTTAGAATTCATGGGTCATTGGATCATGTCCCAGTGGCTTGATGGTCTACGAGCTCCCCTTGTAACCAGAAGGTCCTGGGTTCGAACCCTGGCGGAGGCTCAGCATTGATGATGAGTCCAAAACTAGGACGAAACAGCTGGCTGTTCAGTACTCCTTGAGTGGTTTTCCAATGGTTCTCTAACTGACGCCAGCTCATGATGAAATCCTCTAACCAATCAAACAAAATCCCCACAAAAATCAATACTTGAAAATAAAGTTTATTGTTGTCGTCGCCGCTGCGGTCGTCGATTTTTCCAACCTTACTTTTGTGTCTTTCTCAGAGTGGAGGTAATTTCGAGCAATCAGATAGTTATAATGTGGGGTTCTGAAGGTGCATTCTAGTCAAGACAGATGAACCCACAACCCAGTATCCCTCCGTCATAACATCAAAGACTAGACATTAGTACCTGAAGTTAGAATTCTAAGGTCATCTAAATTCAACCTGGTAGCTCGTGTGGTAACCCCAAAGTCCTAGGTTCGACTCCTGATGGGGTCTTGGGCATGCATTGCTGAATAGCAGAAAACGAAGGTGAAACAGCTGTGTAATTAGAAACTTTTATTGTTTTCTAGACAGCATCTTCAGCAGTAAATTCAGTGTCAAGTGGGCTATAGGAAGTCTTCATGGATGAAGTATTCATCTTTTCTTGTGACATTGACTAAGATTGTGGTGAGAGCTGGCTGCTAGACAAAGTTGGTAGACAGTAATTGACGTCAATGTTTATGTCCCCAATATTAGTTAGTGGTGAGAAAATGAGAACAAAGGCTTTGCGTAGGCGGATACAGTTAGTATATGGATGATCTGACACAGCCACAAAGAGATGCAAGGTTAACTTTCTGTGAGAAACAACCAATCAAAAGACTGTATTTTCTACTAACAATAATCTACAATAATGTACATTAAAATCTATAAATATGTGTTGATTTTCCTTAATAAACCATCTGCTGCTTGGCCCTTGTCTTCTGTTGTTACAAGATCTTCACGTACAGCCAATCCAATTCAGAGTTACCAAGAAATAAGGATATTTCCTCCAAGAAGAGCTCCAAAGGCTCACCACACACTGAAGTTAGCGCCTACAACATTCATTGTCTAAAGAGGAAATGATATCTTCTCAATAAAACCATCCACTCCAAAGATTATCATAAAGTTGCGAAATGATTGGCAGTCATACTTAGACCACACTGTAGTATAAAGTCATTGGATGAAGTCTGAATAGCACTTTCGAATATACAAGAATAAAATGAGAGATAAGAACATTAGAAGCGAAACACTGACTGCTATCACAGTGTTGCTTCTGTGTTCACTAAGGTCTCCTTGTTGGGGAATGTTGAATTCATTTACGAATCTTTGTGATATTTCGGTAAGGAGGTAGGTACGCCTTTACTTTCTTAGAGAAATAAAACTTCGTAGTACGATCAATGTATGCTTTAATAATAATAGCTATATATGTCCAAACCAAGCTAACTTTTAACAGTTTGAAAAAAAATTTCGGCATTGAGTATATGATATTCATTATAATAAAGCTTTTTTGTATTTCTCGATGAATGAGAAACAAAACGACATTGTTGTGTTTTTCCTGACGTTCCGTTATTTAATGCTGCTACTAATAGCTTTATCAAAGTAGTATTATTAAACCAGAATTTACGATATCCACTTAGCTTATGTATATAACAACTTAATCAACGTTCATCAGCATGGGGTTATTTTTGTGTTGTCAAATTGACCAATTGGTAAAGATAACAAAACCAACATTTGTAGATTGTTGGATTTGATAAGTGTATAAAATTATAAAAGCAGCGTGTGTGTTTACACAATGAAATTGCTTATCACATTCGTGTTGTTGTTGTCATTTCATGAAGGAGGGGGCTGGGCTGTTGTAACCAGGTCAAATTCTGTTTTTGTTCATCATTCAGACTGTTCAGACAATTTGGATTCCACTTGATGACATGAAGTACTTCTGATGATGTGAGAAGGGCTTTGTTATTTCTGAAAGGCTTTTTCTGGATGATGATTTCAATATTGTCAAAATCAATTTTGTGACCTGATTCTATAGGGTGTAGACCACCACCTATGACTGATGATTTTTCAAGCTTTTCTAGTTCACTAACTGGATTTCTCGGTGGTGGAACAGATGCTGTACCGTGTTCATTTCTTCTGATCTTGATTTCTCTCTGGCGAGATTTGTCCGATGTAGCATATTGCATCACATTCTAAGCAGAATTTATTTTGTAGACACGGTTGGATTGAGAATCCTTAGGGATTTGGTCTTTTATATGGACAAGTTTACTTCGTAGTTTGTCTGATGTTTTGAAGAAAACTCTGATGTCGAGCTTATTAAATACCCTGCTGATATCGTCTGACGAATCTCATGTTCTATATGGAATGACGACTGTTGAGGCCCAAGTTTTTGGAATACGTTTTCGACCATACTTAATGTCAGTGTTGATTTTGTTGGTGAAGTTCGCTGGGTAGTTATTTTGCTTGAAAGTCCCAGTAATGTTTGGTATTTTCTCTTGTTTTTCTTTCTCATCCGTTAACATCAAATAGTGTGCTCGTCTAAGAAGACTTGAAACGACTGATACCTTTGCGCTGATGAGGTGTGATAATCCGAAGTCTAAATATTTGATGGAGTGGGTTTTCTTCCTGAATATAGATATACTAAAATGTCCCTTTTCCATCCTCTTAACTAGGCAGGCAGTCTAGAAATGGTAGTTCACCGACATCTGATTCTGCCTGATTCTGAAGTGAACTGGGTGTTGGGAGGTAGATTATTCATTTTCTCCAAGAATGAACTGTGTAGATCTCGTTTTAAAACTACAAAAGTACCATTCATTTGGATATACAAAAAACCTTTATGATAATGAATAATAATAGCTATATTCTACACAATAAGTATACACAGTAGGCACAATTTCCGGCGTAGTTTTTTGCATAATATTTTCTCTTCACCCAGGATTCTCAAGTAAAACAAACATCTCCAGTACATCATGTGATGCAGTGCTGTTTGATCTGAAGAATGAAATAATCGTTTATGGCATTTTCCTTTGGTGCCCTAAAGGTGAGCAACGTTAGATAGCAAATTAATTAAAAATGTGCAGAAGTACGTTTGGCAAACCATGGATATAATTTAATCAGTACAGCAACAAGAATTGAAGAAAATAAGATGCATTGTCTCAGATAGAAATCCAGGTAGCCTAGTGATTCAAGCAGGACGCCTTTCCCCTGAACTACCAATGAACGCACCAATGATTCCATCGGGGATGCCGCCCAACACCTTCAAGTTATGAGGCAGGTACATTGACAATTCAGGAGGACTGAGCACACTCATCCCAGCCTCCTCTAAGTGATGTGAACATAAAGAAGTTTGCCGTCAAATACGTTGCGTAGCAGTTAATCTCAGTGGAAAGACCATCTCATTGTGAAGGCAGGTTCATCCATTTAACAAGCTCTAAATAGGGCGATTTCACTGGATTTCAGTGATAGTCACCATCAGCCATAATACAATTGAGAATATTTTAAAAACTACTCATGACTATATCATATTATCAGTTAATAGGAGCTGAATATCAAATCGGCAGCTGACAGTTTACAATGCACACGTCAGGTTGAACACTCAGCCTTCAAAGAAGAAGTGATAGACTCGAGTTCCGCTGCGCCCACTTTAACCTGAGAAACTGAGTGGTATCGTCATCGGTTCTGGAATACATGATAAGTGTAGCTGTTGGGAGTGGGGCAAATGGTCAAGGTGCCGTCCTCTCTCCTTTCCTTTTTTCTTTCTTCCTACAAGACCTGCCTCAATTAAACGAAACTAACTTTGTCAAATATGCGGATGATCTGACTGCATCACTGGCTATCACTTCCGAGTCTGACTGCTTCAAACTTAATAGCTTTCTGTTGGACATCAGCAAGTGCTATAAGTCAAACGGTCTTATGTTAAATCCTTCCAAATGTCAGGCAGTTAACTTTACTTTCAAGCAGCAACGTGACATACATGAACTAGTTAGTTCCCATGATGCCTGTAGCATAGATGGAACTGGAATTGAAACCAAGTCAAGCATTAAATACCTTGGATTAGTTCTTTCCTCTGACCTTTCATGGTCATCCCATATCATATCAGTCTCCAAGAAAACGTTTCGTCTTACCTTCTGCATTAAAAAGTTAAGACAATCAGGTATCAACCAACCTTCGGTTCTGCAATTTTTAAACTCCTGTATTTTACCTATTGTGCTCTATTCCTCTCCATTAATCTTTCCTGGGCTTCTTAAAAAAGACTATATCACATTACGAAGGGTATTACATGCTGTGGCTTGTGGTTTGCCACTGCGTGAGCTCGCCAATACTATAGTCAAGAGACCCATAAATTACTGTACAAAGTGGGCAAAGGCCGTACTGTCAGACCCTCTGCACCCCTTTATTCACAACTATCCCCTTGTATCTCATCAGGTAGGACGAGAAGTCAATATAAAAAGTTATATGCTCGAAACACTAAGTACAAAAATTCTAAAAAAATGTATTTAGCCCGTATTTTATGTGATGAAGACTTTGTTAGACGTGAAACATATGAGTTACTGTGTAATTAGCAAAGTGATCGACCCTTTCATCTTTCATCTTTCTGTAATTGTATGATGTCACCCTTTCTAAGGTTTAATTATAACTTTGCTATTTTTATTTTAGTTGTTATTACTATTATTACTACAATTTTATACTTTATGCATATTTTTCTCCTTATCGCATTCTGTAATTGCTACATAGCTGCTATAACAACGTTTTGTTATTATTATTATTATGTAATTGTTTATTTTTTTGTCGTTTTGAGTAAATTAGATGTAATATTGTACTGAATGCTGAAACTTCCTTGCTGTATCATTAGTACTGTTTTTGGAATAAAGCAGAAATTATTGTTATTATTATTAGATCTGTTGCGAATAATCTCTGGTTAAGACGGGACAGCCGTCATGTGTCCCCTTAGCTCTTGGTGATCCTCCTAGCTGACTTGATGTCACTTCACTTCGCATAAACACTAGTGAGATATTGAGAGGCATCTATACAAGAGTACAGGATAACATCAATGTTTATGTATCAATGAATCACTACTTACCAACTGTACACATATTTTACACAACGAATGATTCTCCCACCTCGTAGAAGGAGGAGAAGGATTCTGTTCGATTACCCACCAATATGTGAAATTGCTTATCTCTGTCATATTGTCCATAAAACTGCATAATATACAATAATCTGCATACCATTTTGATAGATTCGATGATAATTCCTTTTGTGAGCTTTTTTGTAGTTTTGAACAGATTCTACACAACTGGTTCTCATGAAGATGACGTTGATGAATTGATTGGTTTATATACAAGGGGTTCGTTGGAACTGATTGAATTAATAGTAGTAATGAATAGTCTGGATGTTGGATACATTCAAGTTGACCTGACTAAAAGATTTATAGAAAAAATCCCCATTTAGACATTTGGAAAACAGAAAGATTGAGCGAAGAAATATTTCCTTTTCAATTAGATCCTCATGTCTGACTCTACTCTAATATATTATGTATAGCATTTTTATTACAATACACAACAGTTTACCAATCAAGTGGCACTGATATGTTTGTTAACAATAATTAAACAGTGTCAAAATGTCTATGGGTTGCAGTCAAACTGGTAGATACACAGCTACATTGGGCGTACAAAATTAGGCAGGTTCATCGTCGTATTTCCGAACATCATCCAACATGGTTAAGCAAGGGACAAACAAGATCTATTCGTAGTTCTATTTTAGCACACCTTGTTGATACTGAGCATAAGGTTGATGTGAATACTGCATTTAAAATTATTTATCGCATTCCGACTAATCTTAATTTTGCTCCACAAGTTTTTCTTCTACAGACAGTTGAAGCAATCGGAATCCACTTTAAGAAGCCAAACCTGTGTGTTCAGAGGAAATTTGTACAACCACTTTCCTTACAGTGGCCATCGTTACAAGAATGCATAAACAGGACTACGTCGCCCCCCTCCTCCTGAACCTTTAAAAACTATAAAAGTTATAATTGTCCAAATTATTTTATTTTTTCTGACCACATCATCTTTAGTTACGCGTTATCCTTGTAAAATTAATTTATTCTAACCATTTCTACCTTTTGAATGTGTATTGATTTTCTTCGTTAAAGGATTTATATTGAATGAAAAGAGAGATTCAGTATTGTCAGTGTTGATAAATTCTATTTAGTTCGGTAGATGTTAGCGGTAGATTTCTTGGCGTGCCTTTCATCCTACTACTTGAAAAATGTCTCAGCTGACTGTGGTTTCATCGTAGCCAGCAACACTGTTCCCTCTAGGACTTTAATATGACACCGAACTTATGCGCGAAAGCCATTCATTATTCATCTGGTAACGTTTTTTTACATTTAAATCTTATTCCATCCTACAGGACGATACTCCAGCCTAACATCTTACTGCTGTTCTTTAGTGGTTGTGTGGTAGAATGCTTTCTGATTACGCTGCCAGTATTCCGGATTCTATTCCCTACCGGCGCACTAATAAACTTCGCTTAACTGATACCTGGTAAGTCCGGACTTCCGTCCCATGAATACAACAGAATCTCCACTGAAATTTCAAAGCTAAAAGGTTGGAAGCCTTAATTCTGCTTAGAATACAAACGAATGTAAAAGGAATGGTATCGAATATCCTGAAGGCAGTCCACAAAGAGTTTCATCTTACAAGCAGACTGTTTGTAGATATTCATCATCAAGCTGCATTTATAGCCAGAATGAAATCCAAGTGCCTTCAGTAATTTCAAATGACCTGCATCTGCTCTGCAGTTATCCTATGTTTAACCTCAAGCCGAAGAAGTTTGTGTCGGAGTCAAGAAGGCTATATTAAATTCGAAACAAATCAAACCAACATGACCTGATGATTTGGGGGTGTGATCATAATTAACTAAAATAAAATTTTCAAGTATTGGTTTTGTTATTATTATTATTTCCTTTAGTTCCTAGAGGAACATAGGGCTTCAGCCATGCGTCTCCATTGCGTTCGATTCTCTGCTAGAGTTTTCACCTGGCTCCAGGTCTGCCCACATGCTTTCATCTCCTCTTCACATGACCTCCTCCAAGTCACCCTTGCACTGACGACCAACTCGCCGCTTCCCTTTCGGGTTCCACTCGAGGGCTTGTCTAGTGATGTCACTTGCTGGTTTCCTCAGAGTGTGGCCAATCCATCTCCATTTTTTCCTGCCTATTTGTTTCACAATGGGTTCCTGGTTGGTTCGCTCCCAGAGATCTTTGTTGCTGATCCTTTCTGGCCATCTGATCTTGAGTATTGAGCGAAGACATCTGTTAATGAAGGTCTGTAGCTTGTTTGAGGTGCTCTTTGTGACACGCCAAGTCTCTGATCCGTATAGTAGTACTGACTTCACATTGGAGTTGAAAATCCCGATCTTATTTTTGACGCTGAATGATGTTGTCCTCCACACAGACTTCAGAGTAATGAAAGCTTGCCTTGCTTTCCCGATCCTTGCTTTGATATCCTCGTCAGTTCCGCCTGTAGTTGAAACAATGCTTCCCAAGTAGGTAAAGGAGGTAGTTTCTTTCAGGTTTTTTCCATTTATGCTGATTGCTGTCTGTTGTTGTTGTTGGTGTTGGCCAGGGATCTTCATCACCTCTGTTTTTTCTATGTTCACCTGGAGTCCTATCTTTGATGCTTCTTCTGCCAACTTGTTACTTTTCACTTGCATATCTTCCAGTTTGTGGGAAATCAGGCATATATCATCGGCGAAGTCCAGATCCTCCAAGTTCTTGGTGTGAGTCCATTTTATGCCTGTTTCCTCATTGCCCGCTGTTTGTCGCATTATCCAGTCTACTGCAATCAGGAAAATCATTGGCGATAGTAGGCAACCCTGTCTTACTCCTGTCTTCACTTCGAAGGATTCCGTAAGTTTCCCGTTGTGGATTACTTGGCATGCAGCGTTGTCATACAACTGTTGGATGAGATGTATAATTGTCGGCGGCACCCCGTAGTAGCGAAGTAGTTGCCAAATCACCTCTCGATCGACGCTGTCGAAGGCCTTTTCAAAGTCGATGAAGTTGAGATAGAGAGGTGACTGCCATTCCAAACTTTGTTCAATGATGATCCGTAGTGTGGCGATTTGATCAATACATGACTTGTTACTCCTGAATCCAGCTTGTTCTGGTCGAAGTTTTTCATCCAAGGCTTGTTTGATCCTTTCCAGGATGATGCGGCTTAGTATTTTGCTTGGGATGGAAAGGAGCATAATTCCGCGCCAGTTCTTGCATTGACTTAAGTCTCCTTTCTTTGGTAGTTTGAATAGGTATCCTTTCTTCCAATCCTCGGGTACTTTGCCTTCTTTCCACACCTTCTCCAGTAGTGGCGTCATCAGGTCTGCTGTTGTCTCTGGGTCGACTTTCAATGCTTCTGCTGGGATTCCATCTGGTCCTGCTGCTTTCCCAGCTTTCAGCATCTTGATTGCCCTCAGGACTTCTGATTTCGTCGGGGGGTTGATGTTCACTGGTAATTCTGCTTCCGTTGTTGGTATTGTTGGGCGCGTTGTAGGTGGCGGTCGGTTTAGTAGTCTTTTGAAGTGTTCAGCCCAGTGTTTCCTTTGCTCCACTTCTTTGGTGATTGACTTTCCATTTTCATCCTTCACTGGCTTAATTTGTGACGAATTTTTGCCTGAAAGGTACCTAGTTGTTTGGTGAAGTGTTGCGAGGTCTCCTTTGCCTGCAGCTTGTTCTGCTTCATTGGCCATGGCTTCATAATACTTTCTTTTGTCTTCTCTGGCACTCTTCTTTACTCCTTTGTTCAGTGTATTGTAGCTTGCATTCAACTCCTGTTTCTGTTGCTCGTCGGTGCACTGCAGAATTTTTTGTTTCACCATCCTTCTCTCCTCTATTAGCCTCCAAGTGTCCGTAGTGAGCCACGGTTTGTCCTGTCTCTTCTTTCTGCCCAGAACTTCCATGCAGGTTTCGCTCCATACTGTTTTCAGGTTGTTCCAGTGTTTTTCGACGCTGACCTCTTCACCAGTGTTAATTTGTGTCTCGGCTTTGTCCTTTATACTTGCAGTAAAGATATCTTTTGTATCCTGGTCCTTTAGTTTTTGAGTGTTGAACTTGGCTTGTGGTCTATCTGCAGCTCCTGTTTCTCTGAAAGCCTTTAATTTGAGTTGGATTGTTCCTTGTACGAGGTAGTGGTCTGAGCCAACGTCTGCTCCTCTTCTTGCTTTTGTGTCCAGTAGGCTGCGCCGCCACTTCCTCGAGATTGTGATGAAGTCAATTTGGTTTTTGGTTCGCCCATCTGGTGACACCCATGTAGCCTTGTGAATATCCTTGTGTTTGTATACGCTGCCACCAATCACTAGTTCATTGAAGGCGCAGAAGTCGGCGAAGAGTTCTCCATTTTCATTCATCTCTCCCAGAGCTTCTTTACCCATGATGAGTTCCCTTCCTGTGTTGTCTGGTCCCAGTTTGGCGTTCATGTCTCCCATTAGTATTTTGATATCACCGGCTGGAGTATTGTCTATTGCTGCCTGCAGTTGTCTGTAGAATTCTTCTTTATTTTCGAGGTCTGCATTGTTGGTCGGTGCATAGCATTGTATAATTGACACTTTCCTTCCTTTGGAGTTGAATCTGGCGGTTATTATCCTGGGTGAGATCGCCTCCCATTGTATCAGAGCCTTGGTTGCCGTTGGTGACATCATTACAGCCACGCCCTCGGTGTGTGTGTGGTTGTCTTCTGGGTGACCGGAGTAAATCACTGACTCACCTGTTGACAATTTGGTGAGTCCGTATCCGTTCCATCTGCTTTCGCAGATCCCCAATACTTGTAGTCCGTATCTCCTCATTTCGCTTGCGATCTGGGCAGCTTTGCTAGTCTCGTACATGGTGCGGACATTCCATGTCCCCACACAGACTTTTTCTTTTGACGCAAGGAGACTGTTCACGCTGAAGTTTCTGTAGCAGGTTTGTTTACAGGGTGGGGTTGCTGGCCTCACGCCTGAGTTTAGTCTTTGGGTACCTGAAATAGAAGAAAGGTTAGTGTTGCGTGACCGCAGAGCCCAGGGGACATCTGCTTGAGGCCGGTCACACACGGCCTGGTGTGTCTCAGTAGCGTACTTATCACTTCTGCCCTGTGACACGGCAGCAATTGGTTTTGTAGGGATTGTGTTTGATTGGTTGGAGGGTTTCATCATGAGCTGATATCAGTTAGGGAACCATTGGGAAACCACCAGGGAGTGCTGTACAGTCGGCTGTTCCGTCAGCCTAGTTTAGGACTCCTCAAGAGCACACGCCTATCTCCAGGGTACGAACCCATGACCTACTGGTTACGGGGCGAGCAAGATCGTAGACCATTAAGCCGCTGGGACACGATCTACGAGCTCGCCTTGTAACTACAAGGTCCTGGGTTCGAGCCCAGGTGGTGG